GGGGGGAGGGCAGCGGGATGAGCAACGTCCGAGTCTGAGGACGTGGTGGGGCGCAACCCTGAGATCTTCTCACCACCTGGAGGCGAGAGGCGGCTGTTCAGTCCGCTGTTTGAAGAGCAGGCGGAGTCGGCAGAGCAGAGCCAGGGACCCGAGCGAGGTCCCCCGCAGACCCCGCAGCCCCCGCGATGCACGCGCTCGCGCCTCTACTCCTAGTGCTGGTGAGTGGGCCGGGGGACGGGAGGAGCCGCGGAGACGTCGAGGATGAACAACACGACGTCGTGCCGCAGGTCGCGACGCACGCCCCCGCGCTGCAGCACTGCGGCAGCCCGGCCCGCGGCAACGTCTACCGGGCTGTGGACGCGCTGGAGAGGCTGGCCGAGTTCCTGTCGCTGCACACGGACGCCGCGACGGCGGACCACGCGCTGGGGGTGGCCATCGCCAGGGGTAACTAAATCATAACACCGACCGATACGTTTCCGTCTACAGAGATTAACACCTTGGGAATGGACTCCTCCTATCGCAGGTGAGATTCGGGCCGCGCTGCAGGCGCTCCACGGACCGCGCGGCCGCGGGGGTCACCAAGGGGCCCGGCCCCAGCGCGTCGCCGCTCGGCTGGTGGGCGTCCACGCGGACCTCGGGGGGATGCTGCGAGGCCTGCAGGCGGCGACCGGCCCCGGTGAGCTGCTGGGCCTTGTGGTGCGGCGTTGAAGTTCTCCACGCGCTGCGCTAAAGGTGCACTCCACTGAACGTGACGCCCGCGCATTGTGCACGCAGTGCCGTTGTTGCAGCCCGGGCTGTGGGAGGTGGTGGACTCGGAGCGAGACGTCAAAGGGCGTCCTGAGATGCGCGCAGAGGACCACCTTGGAGGGCAACCGGAGGTACTCCCTCTCGCCGATGTGCATGGTGAGCCCTCGGCGGAGACCGTCCTGGAGCTCAGGGAGCTCGCCGGCCTCGGGAGCCCGACGGAAGCGGAGAGCGGACGATGCATCGCCGCCCTGCTCGGGCGCGGGGCGGCGGCCTCCGGCCCTGGAGGGCGGTGCCACGTCCCGGAGGACTGCGCTCGCATCCAGACGGCGGGCTCGGCGGTGGGCTACGCGGCCACGCACAGAGTGCTGTACCACCACGTTGCGCGACAGGTAAGCACTTGCTCTCGTGCAGGCGTCGGGAGCTGGCACACCCCCTGTACTCCTTCACGCTCTGCCCCGCTCCCCAGCTGGGCTGTGCTCGCCCGGGCAGCGCCATCGGCACCCTGGAGACGACGGCGCACCTGTGCGACGGCATCCTGAGGGAGGCGGAGGACATCGCGCGCGCCAACTTCCCGCCCCTGCTGCGGGATCTGTTCGCAGAGCAGGGTGAGTAATCATCGTAAATCATGCCGATTGACTGGTTTGACCTGCTGAGCGTCCGGCACCAACCGTTTAAAACACTTCAACCCTGCGGTTTTCTCCAGTGGCGCTATGCGGGCTGCAGGGCTTCGAGGCGTTCGCGCGGGACGCCTGGCTGGACCGACTGCTGAGCTGGCAGCGGCCTTCCGGGTGCTTCGGCGATGTCGGCGAGCAGCTCGAGGCAGCCAAGCCCTTTCTGTCTCTCCCGTACGTAAAAGGGTTCAAATTAACCCACCGGCCATCGCCGCAAATGCGTTCGAAATGCGTTACGTTATCGGACGCATTTCAGACACGGTACTGTTCCGTGCTCTGCCATCAAGTTTGTTTACCCATACTCGTGCCCCGGCAGGAACAGCGCCCGCTTGTACGACCCTCTCGGCAGCCAGTGCCTGTCCCACCTGACTGGGGTGGCCACGGCCGCTGTGGCGTTCAACACCCGAGTCCTCGTGAACCGCTGGCTAGCGAGCGACTGCGCGCCACGAAGGAGGGGGGACGACCGGGATCGTCCTGCACAATAAGCGTATATCAGTCAATAAATTTATTATTAATTGGTATTGTTTTGTTATTTGTACATTTTCTGATATGGGCGGGAACATTCAGCTTGAGAAGTGTGCCTACACGGTACGGCACGAGACATGTAACACAAAACAAATTATATGGTCATTTTGTAAAGTTTTGCGACCAAAATCAGTAAAAGAGACCCATTTCTTACTTCGTACGGCAAGGTTTTGATATCACTCGCCTGATTCTTAATATCAAGTCGCTTAAAATAGTTTGAG